CTTTCTGGCCAGTGAGAATATTCTCTATGGTCTTCACTGTTAGAAGATGCATTTATAGGTATGTATCTGGTGACCAACCAGAGAGATCATGAATCTGAGAACAGAGTGACAAGAAGTATTTGCTTTGTCTCACTGTGCCAGCTCTCAGGGAAATCTGTTGTAAGAGGTCTCAGTCTGTAAGGGACCTCTGTTGTTGCAACATTCATTGTCTGGTTAGTGTCAGACAAGTCCCATTCCAGTAGCCCCTGCCCAGTGTCTCAGATTAGGGGGTCTTGGTGACTAGAGGCATCTCATATTCCTGTGGGAAATTGGAGACACCATTTTTGCTATACCATTCTTACTGCCTATGACAGTAAGAATGCCTATGACAAAGAAGGTCTTTGCTTTCTTAGGCTAACTCTGGGAGTGACCTTTCTCTTGGAGGTCTGCATATTTTCTACTTTCTTTTGGGATGCCTCTTGTGTCTATGGTTAAGCCATAAAAAGGCTAATTGGTTTAAGTCACTATTGAGATGACTATAAGGTCTTCCTTATCAGCGGCCAGACAGTGGATTCTTTGAATTGGAAAAACTTCTATATTTGAAAAACCAAATTTTACAGAATTTTCATCCAAAACAATTATACTATTGGTACCTATGTAAAGACCAAATTAAAATAGAACACAAAAGAGTATAATGACTCTTCTTAGGGATTCCCTTAGCAAAATGAAAGAACAGAAATTAGAACAAAAATTAAAGTCCATATCCAATATAAATTCTCCTTCTTAAAATCTGGCTCTTTCTCCTCAGCAAATTCCCTTAGCTTCCAAAACTACTCCACCATCTCCAGAAAGATCTTCTAAATACCCACCTCACTATTTTAAGTTTTTTTTTCCCTACAAGATTTACAGAGAGCATTTCAATGTGACCACCACCCAGTTTGCACAGGTTACTCATATAAATGCTGAAAGACAGCAAATGAATTTAGCAGAAGCCCCAGAATAGGTGGTAGGGCTTGGCTCACTTTGGTATCCCTTACAACCCCTACTTTCAAGGGCTGCCAGCTTTGGGCCTTCTTATGCAATGTCCTTCATGGATGTATACTGGACCACCACTGCAAAGAATTCATGTCCCATGGACAGCAGCAGATCTTTTATAAACCCCTTTACTTCCATTTTCAGAAAATCCTATAGAGGATTTAGTGACAATTCACAACCCCACTCATGGGGAACTTGATTAACTGCTAAGGGATGTTCTTTCCACCCATGATTATATTGTAGTTAACAGATAATCCAGAGTGCTCCTGAGAACCCCCTACAGTCTGCTGCCCTCCCACTAGGGGAAATAGATGACCAGAATTTCTCCCAGCCCTCCTACAAATATTCAGGAAATGGATCAGCTGGAGGCCAATGTTCAGGGGCTTTTCTCCCTAAGGTGAATTGACCCAAGGTTAAATTGTACACTAAAAAATGTATGTATGGGGGCATTTGAAGGCCTTTTTAACACTTTATACAGACTTTGTAAAGGCATACTGCATGAAACTCTGCAGCTCCAGAACATAGAAATCTTTTGATTTCCATCTTTGTTGGAAATCTTCTCCCTGATATGAAGCAGCAGATTGAAGATAATGTAGTTGGATGAGCAGGTCAGCTCTTTGATATCACTTAAGCTGCTACCCAGTTCTTTGAGAGTTAAAACAACTGTCCTTATCTCACAAATACTTGTGAACCCATAAATGTAGCTCTATAAACAGTTCAAAGTCCACCTATTCTTACCATCCCCCAAACCTTCCCTATACATCTCAAAATGCCCACAGTTACTGTGAAAGATACGGAATTTGGAAACAAAATGCCCTGCTCTTAAAAGAATGAAGGAAAAATCTAAATAATAATTACCTGGATTTCTGATAGTAGACGTATATACCCTCAAACTCTTAGGAATAAACTTGCATTCTTTCTCTGTCTTGTGAAGATGTAAATATTGCCAGGTCTTTGAAGTATAAACACCCTGGGAGTGTTTATAATACACTGCTCACACTTGCTTGAGACCGAAAGGATAAAAAAAAAGGAGGGGAAAGAGGCTTTTAAAACACAAACTGCTATAGAAGCTCCCTAGCCTAAATCTAGTCTACAGCCTTCATAAGATTACTGATCAAGGACAAATACAAATCTTAAAAAAGTCTTCTCCATAGATATTAATAAAAAACTTTAGCCTTATTAATGGGTAACCTTAATTTGTTCTATCTGACAGACATAATTTGAATTCAATTGTTATTTATAAACTAGTAAGTTTTGTACTGGTGTACCTGATGCATGGCTAAAATTTTGGAATTGAAGCTATAGAGTCTCTTGTCTGTCTGTGTGTTTATGTATAACTATAGATGTATGTTATGTATATATGATATTTTTCTACCTCCAGATGGCATTGCCAAACTTAATTTGTAAAAAAAACTCTTTAATTACCTTACAGAAAAATAAGTTCTTATCAAATTAAATATTTTAAAACTCTCAGAAATATAATAGAAACTAACACAAATGCCTTTTAAGTTTATGTAACCTGGGATATTTTAAGTAAATAAAATCTAGTTTAAGTTTGTTGGTTTAGTTAAAACAGACATGTCTTCAGACTTATCAAGATTAAATATAATGCAGACAAACAACTTTTATTTTACCTGGTTTTATTAGTCAAGGAAGCTCATGTTACCCCAGTCACAAAATTTGTTGCCAATAAAATAACTTAAAATAATAGCTAGCTGCTGAATGTCTCATGAAATTTTCATGAGTTATCTAAATATAACTATTAAAACAATTGAATTAGATAGATGTAAGTGGAATATAAGTTTGTAAATGAGCTTTTCAATAATAAACATGTTTTATGCTATGTTTACTTCGGTTTCCCCAAAACTTTTTTGTAACTTACACCCTTTAATTTTGCTAAGTTAAGTTAAATTATGGAAATTCATTGATTATCTAGATTATTTCTAAATAAGATAAAATACTGAAACATTAATTACTGAACATAGGTGTATCCACTTTTGGCTTCTTATTACAGAGAAACTAAAGATATTTGGACCTGTCAATGAACATGTCTTGTGCCATACTGAGGAAAAATTATGCTATTAGAAACTATATGTTTTTAGAAATTATGAAATGTATTAATAAATTTGCCAATATACAGAATGTTGGTGTAACAATTCACAATTTCTTACTTAGTTTTCACTAGAAAATATGGTTTCCAAGAGTTAGGAATCTAAGTAACATATACAATTAAAACTACTAGAATAAGGGAAACAACTCTGACAAGCTAAGTAGGATGTGGTTTTGGCTAAGAAAAGGTATAAGGTAGGGAAAAATGTTTTTGTTAAGGGAAAAAGTTGTACAATGGTTGGTTGTTTCAGAAAAAGAAAGAGGAAAATAAAGAATAAACTATATGGATATAGAAAGTGGTTTGTATAAAGTTACTAAAAATATGATATGTAATGTTATTAGTCCTAATTCCAATTATCATCAATTTCCTTGTTAACTGCGTTATAATGAACTCTCATCAGATCTTTAACCACGGCCATTTTTAAGTCTTCTGCTATATGTAGACACATTATTTTACTCAAATGCTTTTGCAGAAGTGTTCCTGCAAAAGTGCTTCATCTTCAAGAATTCTTATGGAAAAGACTCTAACAAGTACAGGTCTCCGATAACTTTCATTTCATACCATTGAACTAGAATTAGAAACTAATGGTTTCATAAAACAATGATCAAGATCAACAAAATTAATTACTTGAGACTGAATGAACTGATGAGGATGCTTACAATTTTTATGATTCTTTTTGTTTTAACTGTTGGTTCTTTTATATTATGTTTTTCCAAATTTAAAGAAACTTTTTTCTTTTTTCTCCTAAGCTATTAGCAATTTAGTAAAGTATACCTTTGTCAATATAGATGAAATATTTATCTTTTTCTCTCTGCCTAATCCCTCAAGAATTCAGAAACTCTTAGTGAGTATTCCTATTTTCTTGGCAATAGAGTTATTTGCATAAGTTTAATAGGAATTTGTTCTTATAGGAGGGTACAATTGGACAGATTCATTTTATTACCAAGGCTTTGACTGGAATGTCAATTTCGAGAGAGATTTACATTGACTCAGATATGAACAGACAGTTTTAAGGAACTAAGGTTGACTTTATGGAGCCAATAAAGACTTTATGGAGCCAAAAAAAAATTGGCCTGATACTATGCTTACAGGATTCCTGGCAGCCTTATGAGGTAATTAAGGAAGGTCACTTCCTGGGAGGCCCAGGAACCTCTGAATATTTGGGGGACCTCAAAAATAGAGGAATTTGCCCAATCTAAAGGTATTGTAGGTGAAATATGATGGTGAGTCCTTAGCTTGCTTCCTTGAGAGTTTTTAAAATTCCAATCTGAGATTCCTTATGAAAAGTTCCAGAAAAGCAGACTTACAAGAACCTTTATGGTCATTAGCTATTCTTGCTGAATTTAGGTAAATAAACATGCAAATTTAATGAGTCTAGACTTATTAGCAAAACAAATTACTCTTTGATTATCTCCAGTAGACATGGGGTTGACTATAGAGAGAAAATTATGTTTCAATAGAAAACTATAGCACACCCTTGTAGATATCAGATTCTAGTCCTGTTTATTGTCTTTGAAGTTCTCTTTTCTACCTGTAAATTGAACTGGATCCTGAATTCTTCTAGGTTCCTTTAATACTTGGCTACAACTCTCCAAATGAACATTTCCAATTTTCTTCCACTTTAATGACTTAGAATTACTGAGAATTAAAACTTCTCTTTTCTGGAAGCCACACAGGCTAAAAATGGACAATGTGATATAAACTTCAGAGAAATCACTTTAATAGCTCATATTGAACAATCTTTGTACCTGTTGCTGTGTGGGCCACTCAGAAAGATCACCAGACATATTCAAACTGAAAACCAGGAAAACCTGCCATATCACCACTGCCTACTCTCACTTCTACTGAAGATGTTTAGAGCTCAACATCTAGAATCTTCTTCACTGGCCGCTTTCAAAACTCAGAAACTGGGATTATACTCTGCTCCAGTCATTAATCATTGTTTTTGTTTTCTTTCCATAGGAATGACTCATTAAATACCTGATTGCTTGTGCAATATAGGCCTAACTTTGGGAGCCTATTTGCATCATCACCTCTTAAAATACGTTTAATAGAACTAATCAATTGTCAGGAAAGAGACTGGTTCAGTGAGATGCAGCCATCTACCAACTCAACTTCTGGACTGAAATTTCTTAGGGAAGTTTCAAAGGCAGGACTGGGGGGAGTAGAATATGCCAACCCAAAATGTATCATTTTGGCATGTGAATTATTTTGAGCTGAAGGCAATTAAGACCAATTTCATCTCTTACTTAACTGCCCAAAATAATTTCGATAAGGGCCCTGTGCCAGGAAAAGAGCTATTACCAGAGATAATTTTTTTGTATCAAAAAGACTTATCTGTATGGCATGGCAAGCATTTGTTTACCAAACATTTACTCTTCTCATCTTCCTGTTAATTGTTTTCATTTGCTTTAAAGCCCCCACCCCCTTCTCCTTAGCTCAGGAAGATAAATATAAGCCCCAATTGTTTGACTGCCTTTGAATCTTCATTTCTTTGTAGGGCTCCTATACACATATAAGTAAATTTGGTGTTCTGCTGTTAATCTGTCTTATGTCAATTTAATTACTAGACCAGCCAAAGAATTTAGAAGGGAAGAATATTGTAGTGCAATCCCCTACAATATTGTAGCACATGAGCCTCTCCCCATCTTCTTTGCTCAGGGCTCTGTACTATTAGCCCAGCTCAAATTTCTCCTTATTTATGAAGACTTCCACTAATCTTTCAGGTCGAGTTGGGTTAGTACCTTTCTTCTCTGTGCTTGCAATAACATCCATTACTTACATGAATCATAATAACTATGTTAAATTTTTCCTGAGCCCTTTGCCTCTGGAAACCAGTGACAGTTGAAGAAATCCTCTCTCCTTTTGTCTTCTGAAAAACAGCTTAGTGAAAATAACTACCCTTCCCCGTTTGACTTAAAATATAATTCACCAATCTCTCTCTTTTTATTTAAAAGGAGGCCAGATACAGACCCTTTAAATTCCCATTCTTTGCCTCATAAAAATTAGCTGCGTTGTTTGTCGACACTAATCAATTAAAACAAAGTGTAACTTGACTAAGTATTAGTCAAGCTTCTCTTCTTTCTCCAGGCCCCTGAACTTTGACCTACCTTCCTCCTGACCTAGCACACAACCCCTCCTTAATGAGCCCTCCTAAGGACTGGCAGACCTTAGGATAAAATATTTCCTGATTATCCCTCTCCTTCATATATTACTCTTTCTAGCTTAGTTGACTCTTCTCCATAAAAGAAAATCCCTTTCTGCCTGGCCTCTGAGGCTCTTGCAGTTCTGTGGTTGTTTCCCCTATTGCTATGGTCTCCTTCCCCTTATTGCAATAATATTTTCAAATAAGGTCTCTTTTTACCTAGGTCTGGAGTTATTTTTATTTAGTAACACAGATCACCAAATTGTTTAATTGTCTGTTTAGATAATGTATTCACTTTCCTTCAGATTTGTAGCTGTTTTTTTGGAACAATGACAATGCCAGATTCATATTTGTGTTCTTAGCATGTCTTAATCTGCCTCTGTCCTGAAGCTATTTCCATCAAGTTCTGTTTCCATTTTAGTCTCTGAGTCTGTAGTTCTCTCTCTCTGCCTGCCCCATTTCTCTCCTTCTTCACCTACCTGAGTCCTTGAGGCCAAGCTCCTGTCTTCAGTTTTCTTGAAAGAGACTGTAGAAGGTAGAGTATGTTCCTTCCCTGAGTCTGGTAGGATGGTGACTCATCTCCAGTACAGACTCTGGCTCTCTCCATGGGAGGGGGACCTGAATTTATACTTTAGACAGGAAGTGAAAAACTGGTTTCACTTCTGTTTTTATTGGTTGTTTTTCTTTAAAAAAATTCAGTAGGGTGAAGCAAAAGCAGTTCTGAGAGGGAAGTTTATAGTAATAAATGCATGTATTGTGAAACTAGAAAGATCTCAAATAAAGAATCTAACTTTATACTAGAAAAAGAGGAATGAATTAAGCCCAAAGTTAGCAAATTAAGCTCAAAGTTAGAAGGAAGGAAATAAAAAAAGAGAATAGAAATAAATGAAATGGAAACCAGAAAAACAATAGGAAGGATCAACAAGACTAAAAGCTGATTCTTTGAAAAGATAAACTGCAAAAAAGAGAGAAGATGCAAATAAATAAAATTAGAAATGAAAGCAGAGACATTACAACTGATACTACAGAAAAACAAGAGGGTTATGAGAGTACTATGAATAATTATGTGCCAACAGATACATAACCTGGAAAAAATGGATACATTTCTAGAAATACACAACCTACCAAGACTGAATCAGGAAGAAATGGAAACTCTGAACAGATTAATATTGAGTCAAGAGATTGAGTCAGTAATCAAAAAATTCTCAACACAGAAAACTCCATGACCAGACAGCTTCACTGATGAATTCTATCAAACATTTAAAGAAGAATTAATACCAATCCTCCTCAGACTCTTAGAAACCATCAAGGAAGAGGAATATGGCTGAACTCATTCTATGAAGCCAGAATAACCTTGCTGGCAAAATCAGATAAGGATACCACAAGAAAAGTAAACTACAGACCAATATCCCTAATGAATATAGATGCAAAAATTCTCAACATATGAGCAAACTGAATTTAAGAACACATTAAAAGGATTATACACCATGACCAAGTGGGATTTATCCCTGGGATGCAAGGATGGTTCAACATATGCAAGTCAATAAATGCAATTCATCATATCAATAAAATGAAAAATTAAAGATAAACTTGATCATATAAATAGATGCAGAAAAAGCCTTTGACAAAATATAATATCCTTTCATGATGACAACACTTAATACTGGGTGTAGAAGGAACATACCTCAGTGTAATAAAGGCCATATTCAACCAACCCACTGCTAACATTATATTAATGGAGGAAAATTGAAAGGGTTTCCTCTGAGATCAGAAACAAGACAAGGTTGTCCACTCTCATCACTACTATTCAATATAGTACTGGAAGTCCTAGCTAACACAATTGACAAGACAAATAAATAAAGGATATCCAAATTGGGAGGGAAGAAGTAAAATTGTCATTATTTGCTGATAGCATGATCTTATATATAGAAAATCTCAAAAATCATTAAAAAAACTGTTGGAATTAATCAAGTTTCAGTAAAGTGGCAGGTTACAAAATCAACTTACAGAAACCAGTGGCATTCCTTTACACTAATGAAGAAGCATTGGAAAAAGAAACAAAGAAAAGTATCCCAATCACAATAGCATCAAAAGTGATAAAATATTTAGGAATAAATCTGACCAAGGAAGTGAAAGAGTGTACAATGAAAACTCTAAGACTTTTCTGAATGGAACCAAAGAAGACACAAATGGAAAAATATTCAAAGATCAGAAAAATAAGTCTTCTTGTTTAAATGGCCACACTAGTCAAAGCTATCTACATACTACACACAATCCCTATCAAAATACCAAAGGCACTCTTCATGAAGTTAGAAGAAACAGTCCTAAAATTTGTGTGGAACCACAAAGACCTCAAATAGTCAAAGTAATCTTGAGAAAGAAGAATAAAGCCAGAGACATCTGGTTTCAAACTATACTACAAAGCCATAGTAAGAAAAACAGTCTGGCACTAGCACAAAAATAGACCCACAAAGCAATGAAACAGAATAGAAAGCTTAGAATTCTATCTTGGCATATATGGTCAACTAATATTTGACAAGGGAGAGACAGCACCCAATGGGGGAAGGATAGTCTCCTCAATATGTGTTGCTGAGAGAAACTGAAGAAACACATGTAGAACAATGAAATTGGACTCCGATTTCACACCTTCACAAAAATTGACTTGAAATAGATCACACTTAACCACAACATCTGATACCATAAAACGTCTAGAAGAAAATGGAGAAGAAGATCATTGATACTGGTTTTAGCAATGATTTTTGGACATGATGCCAAAAGCAAAATAAATGCGAATAAAAAGCAAAAATCAATAAATGGGACTACTTCAACCTCAGAAGCTTTTGTATAGCAAAAGAAACAATTAACAAAATGAAACAGAAGCCTACGGAATGGCAGAAAATTTTTGCAAACCTTATATAGGATAAGGGGTTAATATCCTAAATATATAAAGAACTAATACAACTTAAAAACAACAATAACAAAAATGGGTAGAAAGACTAAAAAGACATTTTTCCAAAGAGGGCATCAAAATGGCCAACAGGTGCATGAAAAGATGCTCAACATCACTAATCATCAGGGAGATGCAAGTAAAAAACCACAATGAGCTATCACCTCATACATGTTAAAATGGGTATTGTCAAGAAGACGAGAGAACAAGTTCTGGCAAGAACGGGGTGAAAAGGGAACCCGTGGTGAATGTAAAATTAGTCCAACCACTATGGAAAACAATGTGGACTTTCCTCAGAAAATTTAAAATATATCTACCATACAATTCAGCAATTCAATTTTGTGGGTCTGCTCAAGGGAAATGAAAACAGCATTTCAACAAGATATATGCACATCCGTGTTTATAGCATTAATCACAGTAACCAAGATATGTAAAAAACCTAAAGGCCCACCAACACATGAATGGGTAAAAAAGATGTAGTATATTTACACAATGGGAATATTATTCAGCCTTGAGAAAGGAGGATATCCTGCTATTTGCAACAACATGGATGGAACATGAGCACATTATGCTAAGCAAGATAAGTCAAAGGCATCACTATGATATCACTAATATGTGTAATCTAAAAAAGTCAAGCCTGTTTAAAAAAGAAATCAAAGAGTGAAATGGTGGGGATTAAGGGATGAAAATGGGAGATAAGATTGATGGTGTATAAGGATACAAATGTGTAACTAGTAGTAAATAAGCCATGGAGAGCTAATGAGTATAGACAATAATATTGTGCTATAATGATATAATGTGATAAATATTGATTCAATGGCAATTATATTACAATATATAGACGTACCAAAGTAATGTGCCATACACCTTAAATTTAGTGCTATACACCTTAATTTTACAAAATGTAATGTATCAAATTTATCAATGAAAAAATTCAGCTGATTAAAAAATATCCTGTTCGTTTATTTATTTGTTTATTTATATTACTTATTTTAAACCTGGGTTTAAAAATAACCTCAAAAAGAAGACTAAAGTTGAACTGTGTGCCTGTGTTGTGTGTGTTTATGCCAATGGTGGTGGTTGAGTGAGCACAAGACAATGAACAGAGCAGAAAAAGCATGGGGAAAGAATTTGGGAGAAGAGACATGGGCACAATGGAGGTTATTCCTCAGGGAAAGTGCTTTGATTGCTTTGCTGTTGTAGTTCTTAAGTCACCAAAGAACAAAGAGAGAAGCATGCTCCCAGTGCTAAAGTAACATAGTTTTATTTCCTATAAAGGACATACTTTTGCTAGAATTACCTGTTTTTCTAAAGTGACTGATATGAAAATTAATGAAGTTTACAACATCAGATTAGCTGGTTTGGATGATGCAACACTAATGTGAGCTAAACTCTTAAAAGTATATTGTGTGCTTATGGTGAGAAAAAGAATTTCACTGTATCTTTTACAGTAATGCTTTTCAATAATGCTGAATATTCAGTAATGCTGTAGTACAGCTTTTCAGTAATGGTATTGCTGAGTTTTCCTTCAAACCTAAATCCCACGTAAAGGATTTTGTCTGTTCATTGTTATTTTTCTCCGTGATCTAATTAATTATAATATTGCTTGTAGATCAGTATCTTCTGCCCAGTGTTCTTCTATTTCAAACTTTATGTCTGATACACATGTTCTTCCAGGTGAACCTCAGACTCACTTTTTTTTCAGTTCCTCCAGAAATCCCACTCACACCATCCCTTATTTCCCCTCCCATTCCCAGTACACATACCTACTTCCACCTTCCTGGATCTATACTGAGTGATCTGTGCTGTGCTTTCTTAGCACCTATTCCATACTCTTATAATGCTCCTATCACATTGTGCTGCATTGTAACTGTTTGCTTGTTTATATATCTTCCATCCCTCCAAACCTCAAATTTCCACCTTCCTATGCTCCTCCCACTTGTGGGGGATTCTGTCTTATTCATCTTTATATTCCTAGTCTCAGACACAGTACATGAAATATATAGGTGAGAAATATATGATGCTTATATAAGGAAATCAGCATATCTGTCTGAGCTTGTTTCATCAGATATATGTGAGAATATTAATAGTTATTTCAGTGAGTTACAGGAGGAACAAAGAGGATGTAAGTGGGCCTGGTAGAGTGTCTTACCAATAAGACTTATCTTTTCTTGTTACAGATATGTTGTTATATGTGAGCCTCATGGTTACCACAAGCTAAAACCTATACTAAATACACAAAAAGAAAGAAAGGAATCTAAGTATACCATTAAAGGAAGTATTAAAGGAAGTCATCAAACCACAAAGGAAGAGAGTAAGAGTAGAGAAAAGGAACCTAGAGGAACTAGAAAAATAGCCAGTAAACAATTAACAAAAATGACAACAAGTACATATCTATCAATAACTACTTAAATACAAGTGGACTAAATTCTCCAATCAAAAAACATAGAAAGGCCAGATGGATAAAAAAACATGATCCATCTATATTGCCTACCAGGGATTCACTTTAGATCTAAGGACACACAGAGAATGAAAGTGAAGAGATGGAAAAAAGAATATCCAAAGTATTTCTGCAAAAGAAAACTGGAGTAGCTATACTTATATAAGACAAAATAGACTTTAAAACAAATACTACCAT